AAAAAAAAAAAAATTTAAAAGTTTTCCGGTTTTTTTAAAAAAAAAAAAATTAAAAATTTTTTTTTTTTATTTTTTTTTTTTTTTTTTTTTTTTTTTTTTTGCTCTACCGGCCTTTATTTGATAGTTAATTGACAGGAAGGTGGGTTATGAGAGAAGGGGGAAGACATGCAGCAAAGGTCACCAAGGCCGGGAATCAAGCCTGCGACAGCTGCGTCGAGGACTAAGACCTCCTCCATATGTGGGTTGTGCTTAACCCATGCGCCACCACAGCACACCCTACAAGTTTGTCATTGATAGGCAAAGCTAACTAAAGAGTTGGGTGAGCCAACACTAAAGTGCCAATCATAAATATTAGTTCCGCTAACATGCTATAACACCATAGTATTTAGTGGAAGCTAATGCTAAAGCGCTAAATTTGACTGTGTCGATACCTGCCATGTGTGACAACCTAGTAAAAGCTCAACATGTTGCGCTTCAGGAAGTGACTATAGGTTTCAGGTTTAAAGTTGTTGAGTATTGCTCACTATTTTGCTGACTTTACCTAATTAACCACAAAATGTTTTGGTCAGAAAACATGAAGGACATGCGTAGATTTTAAACGGTTTAGTATAGAACTACGGTGATAGATTCTTTCTTTTGGGAATTATCTGCTCTTTTGAACCTTTGAGGACTGTTTCCTCCTTGATTTTGTTTGCAACATTCAGATGGCTAGATCTTGTTCTATGTGTTTGACAATGTTTGAAAACTCACACTTTCAGACTCTAGAAATTACTCAAAATGCCGTGGTATGACTTGTTTCCTGTTTTGTCGTGGCCATTTACAAATGTCTAGGTTGGGATTTTTGTGCATATTTGTACAAAAACGTTTGCATTCAAAGTGCTTTGAAATCAAATCAAACGTTTTGCATTCAAAGTGCTTTGAAATCAAATCAAATGTATGGTGGCAAAATCTTGTCTTTAAATTTACAAAAGCCTTAACTTTGCCTGACACCTCGTCAGACATCACCATTCAGAAAAAAGTCTGGAGAAAATCCAAGGTAACTGGACAACAAGGGAGAATGTAGAAAGTTTTTTTTTATGTGTGTGTGCGTTTTCAAAGTATCCATTGAGGACAAGAGAACCTCATTCTGGTCCCATGTGCAAACACAAGGTCCAATCTTTCAGAGAAATAGGGTTTATGTTTGTTAGATGACTGCACATCAGCTGTGTGACCTCTAAATCTACACCGGGTCCTGGAAAATACACAGAGGAGTAGATGTTTCCCTTCAAAGCTCAGATCACACAAGTCACTTTAATGATGTATTGTGTTCGTCAGGGTAAGGCCAGACGGTTCCTGCTGTCACACCTGTGCTTTGGCATGGGCAGTGTACAGTCTGTCACAAGTGCTTTTTCAATTTGCTTCCTCTTTAGTTGCTATTTTCCTGTTCAATAATCTTGTTTACCATCTGAAAGAGAAGGAAGAATTTTAACACAATGCTGTAAATCAACTTCAGGTTCAATGATTTACACACTCCTTAAAGGATAGTTACAAAAATGCTATAAACGATTCAAGAAATATGGGAGAAAAAAGCAATAGTAAATAAGAAAATTTTTACTTTCATTAGCTTGATACAAACCATTACACATTGTCCAAAAAAAAAAAAAAAACAAGCCGTCATCCTCCTACTACTTCCTATTGTCCTCTTTGTCGTTTTTGTCGGTAATCAGTTTTTTCTCAGGGTACTTTAACATCCCTGTTGTTTCTTAAAGGCCCCACCTAAACAATAAACATGTTTATTGACGCGATGCATGGCGACTCTCCCGACTTAGACGAGCTCATCATAGTTGCCTTACAGTTGATTGTGAATTGTTCCAGAGAAAGCTCAAGATCACAGCTTGAAGACATCCAGTCTGTCTGAGTTCAAGGTCCAATTGTGGCCCTCAAATGCTCCCTTCTTTTCCCAGATTTGAAGGGCAGGTTTCACGCATCCTTCATAGCCTACTGTTTCCCAAGATTGGGATGAGGAGGCGGGAGATAGAGTGAGAAAAGAGTACAGTTTTAAATGTAGGTACACTAAAATTTAAGCTACAGTTTTACCAGTTTGTGTTGAGGGTCATCACGGTTGCTAGGTGAAAGAGCATATGTCAAGGGCAGGAATAACTCAGATGGCGAGACTGTCTGGTCTTCTTGGCCTACATCGACTGGGTAGGCAAGGTCTTTAAAAGTATGTGACCCCTGAATTTGGACACCCATCAATAGAACTGCATTGGACAAACTTTGTGTGGAAACCCTACACTCATCTTTAATTGTGGGCATACAGGATTGGATGGCCTCTGAAAGTGACCATCACACCTCATATTCTTGCTTCAAGCCTCAGGTTTGTGGTTATAACCCTCCCTCATGTACAGAAATACATATGGACTCAACAGTCAAACTCCCCTGACTCTCTTAACCACTCAACAAGGCAGATCTGTCCAACAGTCAGTTAAATTTCACACGGCTACTTCTCAGTGTGAGGTGTTGATCCTCCTCTCATGATTATTTGACAAGTATCAATTTCAGTAAATCGGATGAAACAGAAGACAGTAGACTCAAGTCCGGCGGACAAAGAAAGCACAATTACAAATGTCAAAACCAGCCCTCCCTCCATTCACCATAAATAATAGAGCCGATGTCAGGGTAGCCATGTTTGTTCGCTCTACCTAGATGAGAAACTGTGTTGTGTTCGGGTCCCTTTGGAGGCTCAGAAATACTTCAGGGACCGTGGTACAGAATGAGAAACCGTCGAATGACAACAAGGAGGCAAACAGTGGTCAATGCGGTATCTTAGTGTACACAAAGAGGGCAGGACAGACTGTCCTGGAATACCTCTGTGCTGTGAAGAGGACACCTGTGTGCATTCCTCTGCTTCCCTTTTTTACAAGTTTGGTTGAAACTTACTGATGTCTCTTTGGTAGAAAGTTGCATTTCTCTCTAGCCTTGGAAACAAATTTGTAAAAAATGATGTTGCTTTCTCAATGTTTGTCTAGTTTTGTGTACAATATTTCATTTGTATCTGTAGCTAAATATGGTTAGTAGCCATATCATTTTAAATTACTTATGTTTCACGTGACTTTCTGTTTAACGTTTAGAAATAGTTTTCTTAAAGGATTCATACTAAAGTGTGATACAGTATAAACTCTACATACCCTGTTGGTTAAAGTTCAGATTTAAGATTACAGCAGCATTGTGTAACCAAAATCGTGTAATGAATGAATGAAAACAATCGTTGACTGACCATTAATATCAATTGTTTTAGATGCACAGATTTAAACAGTCAATTTCCTGAACCTTGTTGCCCCGCAGACATTTACAGAAGGCATTACCAACCAGCTGATTGGCTGCTACGTGGGCTCTCTCCAGGAGCCCGGATGTGTTCTGGTGCGACTTTACGGCAGAATGACGGAGCTCTATGTGAATCGCGATCGAGAGGTGGAGATGTTCCAGGTCTTCCAAGCGCATGGCTGCGGGCCCGAGATCTACTGCAGCTTCCAGAACGGCATCTGTTACGAGTTTGTCCGAGGAAATGTGCTGGAGGACGAGCTGCTGCGACAGCCGTCCATCTACAGGTCTCTGCTGGCACCCAGCAAAATCAGTCAGTCTGCAGTTTCACTCTCCACACACAGATTATTTAAAAGAAAACAGGGTATCTGCCAGTTTTAGCATGTTTAAGATTTAAACATAAATATTAAACATAAATACAGGGGATGATTGGTGGATCCTGCTGGCTCGTCTGTGTTGGCAACAAAAGTGAGCCAATGGCAAAGACAAACATCCAGCCAACTGGTGATGCATTTGTATGTACCCATGATGGACGCCAAAACAAGCTAGCAGCTAGCTACCGACCACCTCAAGTAAAAGGTTTTGACTCTAAACAGCATCTGCATCCACATTCTTGACACATATAGTTATTTAAAAGAAAGCAGTGCATCTGCAAGTTTCAGCAAGTCAAATTTAAGACACTTAATGCTAGCTTGAAAGAAATTTAAGACAAAAAGAGACATTTACAGACACCCTGGAAACAGTTTTTTTTTCATATAAAGAAATTGGGCATTTTCAAAAAGATGAAATTTTAAAAATAATGTGGCAAAACATCTTTATGTATCAATACAGAGAAAACTCAAACTTTTGGCTAACAGAAACATCCTGCAAAAAAATAAAAATGCAAAATACAAATGCATCCAAGATTTAGTAGTCCTACCATGACAAAATTTAAGACCTGTGATCGACGTATTCAATGCCAACTTTTAAAATCATTTTAAGACAATTTAATGCCTTCATTTTAGACACACAAATTTAAGACATTTAAGTCTTTTTTTAATATAGAAAATAAACATTTGCAAAAAGATGAAATCACAAAAGTGATGTGGCAATAAAAAAAAATATTGATACATAAAGGAACACTTTACCAGTATGACTTGACACCTGACATTTCTTCAGTCCTCCTGAGGGACTTTCTGCTGGTTTTGCAGCTCACTTACTTGTTATGTTGAGCAATATTATTTATTCCTGGCTCGTTTTATTCATTATGTCCATTACAGGCTGACACCATTATTAACAGCACAGTAGGCCAGAACAGCCAGGGCCACAATAGACATCCATCGCTGGGGCTTACCCAGAAGACTTTGCATCCTCCCAGCTAAGATGGCTCAAGAACAAAAAACCAAGTGGATGAAAGGTCACATATGCAAGGAGGCCCATTATTTTAAAAAGAAGAACAAGATAAGAACGCTAAATGGAAAGGGAGTTGTGTTTCTGCTCCGATAATGCTTGTTTGTGCAATAACAGCACTGGCCAGGGTCATCTGAGAAAATGTTTCTTTTTCTTTTCTTTTTTTCTTTTCTCTGCAGATTGATTGCAGCCGAGATGGGAAAAATCCACTCGATCCAGCTAAAACGTGGCCAGCCGACAGAGCCTCAGCTCTGGACGAAGATGTCTCATTTTCTGACTCTGGTGAAGAGCAGCATCACCAGGAATCCAGCTGAGCAGGCGTGCACTAAAAGGTAAAGAGCGAGCCGCATAAAAACGACCCTGAACATAAAAAAACCCACATCATGAACATTGATATTCAAGTTGCTGTAGAAGAGTGGCTGTTGAATCTGTCAAAACAAACCGTACAACATGTAAAGTGAGGTCATCCCTTGGAGCTACAAAGACAATTCACCAAGGTTGTACATTTCCAGACATATTAAAAAATGGTTCGGTCTTTACCAGACAGCTGACTTACCTTGAGAGCAGAACTGAAATTCCTTCAAAATGAAATACAGAGATGGACAGAAAATGTTTCTGGTGTGGATTCATCTTTGTTTGGTTTTGTTTGGTTTCTCTGTGAATCACAACTGTTCAGTCAGGTGTGAAAAGGTTTAAGGCTGTTTTCACACCTGTTAGTCAGGCAGACTCTGTTTGATTGAGAACCAAAATTGTAATATCTATTACATTTTCAGCTGGTGCAGTTCGGTTTCACGCTGCGCTGTTTCAAATTTTGTAAGCAACTATCCTCCATTGCGAAAACAAGAAATGCCAAGTCGAATAAGACTGCTGTTATTGCTAAATCAATATTTGGAGGCATGACCAATATTGACTGAATAGCTTCGTTCACTTCCTCCACTACCATTGTTAAAACTACAAGAAGACTACAATTCTAAAGCAACGTAGAAAATCCACTTCATCGTTCACAACGTCTCCCTCTGTTCGCTGATTGGCGAACAGCCCAGACTGTTCCGTGAAGCAAGATTTGAATGAAACTCAATTGTCTAGGAAGGCAATGGCCAGACTAACTTCAACCAAACCGAGACTTAGGTTTCTAGGCAGACCACAGCTCACTTTTTTTGTTCTTAATCAGAGTTCGATTGTGCATTCACACCTCCCAAAACAAACTGGACTTTCTAGGCAAACAAACTAGAGTTTGATTCAATCAGACTAAACAGGGCTGGTGTGTTTTAAACAACAGCCTGCCTCAGTCGTTTCTTTCCAATCGTTTCTTTGATAAAAACCAGTTTCAGCTTTTATCTTTGAGGAGTACTCTGTTCCTTCATCACATTCTCACATATTCGGACCTGCTAACAGGTTTCCAGTCAACAGTTGTTGGGTGGGGGGAGTTTTTCCTCCTTTTTTCTGTCCTCCAGTTTTTCATTTTGCTGAGCCAGAATTGGTCAAACAGCTGAAGCCGGGGAGTGGCCCGTAATGGCAGTGGCTTTGCATTATCTCTGACAGAGGTCATGGGAGGCCCTCCAGATACTACAAAGAAACAGACACTCTGCCATGAGCTTCCTGCTAAGCTCTGCCTTATCGGTCAAACGTTCAACCTTGTTTGTGTTTCCATTGAGGGGGCCAGAAGTCCATGCAAATGAACACTGGGAGGGCCTGGCTCTTCTTAGAAAGTGGGTAAGGTAGTTTACCCTAGTCCGGTAGTGGTAATATGTCAACTTTACAACAGAGCTGCAACCGTTGAGCTGTTCTACTGCAAAGTGCAACGTATTTTATTGCTGACAATTTAAGGAAAAACCAACTGAATTAAGTAAATAGCTGTAGTTTTCAGTCTCTTTTCAGTCTACTAACCCTAAAAAACACATGCAGTAAAGTGCCATCAGAGACTTGAGAATTCAGATTTACAAACACAAAATCTATGACAGAATGTAAGCACTTTGCTTGTACAGAGATTCTGGACCCTTGGCTGTTCAGAGACGGTTACTTCCTGGAGCCGTGGACTCTGTTGAAGTTTAAAATTTTACACAACCGCTAATGTTTGGCCTGATGTCTGTAATGCGCCATTTCAATGAAGCTTACCGGAAATTGCGTGAGCTGTTAACAACCTCATGGGGAGTAGGGTTAAAACATCTTTGACTCAATATTTGGCCAACACAAACTGAACAACTTTGTTCACTTCCTCCACTGCCGTTGCTAAAACTACAGGCAGACTACAATTCTAAAACGGCACAGAAAATCAACATCATTGTTCACAACTTCTTCCTCTGTTTGCTGATTTGTCCCGGTTGAAATTCAACCAGAGAAATCCATGTCAATGGGAGAAATCCCAGATGGAGCACTGAAGGGAGATGAGAATTGCGTAGGAAGGCAATGACCAGGCTGAGGTAAAACAGGCTCTGGATGTGCAAAGCTGACAGAGACAAACTCCCAAGATTTACTAATCCAGTGGCACGTGGGGGTGCCAGTAAAACTTTTAGGAGAGCACAGTTAAAAATGATGGGATTATTGATTTATACATCAGGCTTTACATTTATGTATTGATTGAAAAGAAATTGACTCTATGCCTTTCTATAACCAAAATTAGCCCAAAATTGTGGCCAATCTTGTGGTGGCCGAAGTTTCTCTTTGGCGCACCACTGCTGTAATCACAGCAAATTGTGACCCTATGTTTTTATTTTTTTTACTCTTAATTAAACACTACCTTTGCATGACTCTATTGCATAAAACCACAATATAGTGCATAGACTTGTCACAATAAGTCAGTTAATCGCATAATAAATTAAAACAAACTCAATAATTTCCATTTGCATGATTTATCATTTATCTCTTTTCTCTCTCTACCAAAAACAGAATGACAAATATCTTCAGTCTGGTGCTTCAGTCTGAACTAGCCCTTTTATTTTTGAAGGACAATTTTCTTCATTCATAATTCATTATTTTGGTTTTGTTCTGTTTTGTTTATTTATTTTGAATATGTGAAATTTCTGCCATCACTTCCCTCAACATTGGATTTTAAAGTTTATTGGTCTTTGAGAATGTGTTTTTGCTTCATCATGCCAACAATATTATCATTTATCGCATTATCTTCTGGGACGATTTATCGTCCAGCAAACTTATCGTGACAGGCCTCATGTTTGAGGTTGTCATGTGGCAAAATATGAAAAAGTTTGAAGTTTGGATTCTTTTGGATTCCAAACTAAGTAGAGAGTTTTTGCCAATTTGGTCAACTTGAGTATATCTAATACTTATTTAGTCTCCTCCAATTAACCGCTGTTATGTTTTTCTCCGGGGTTTTTTCTGTCTGTTGCAGATTTTCAAAACAAACTCTGTAGCTTGAACATCCTAGAGTATAAGCTGCACCGCACGTAGAGGCCCAATAGATGGTGCTGTGTTGTGACACATTTCCATGACTTCACACAGTTGAAGCGCCGCTCGCCAGCAGAGACATTCAAACGATCTGAAAATGATGAATGATGAGGACGTAAATCAAGGACTGTTGGGGGGGCGTGGAGGTGGGGGTGGGAATTACAGCAAGAAAAAAAAAAAGAACATTTAAGAAAATGAGATATTATTTATATAGGATCGTTTGCATTTAAAACCAGAGCGCGCCTGTTTGGATAATCACTGGCCTCTTCAGAGACGAAGATACGAGACAGAGGCCGAAACACAGTGAGGGGGATTGGGGGAAAAAAAAGGTTCTTAAAATTTGCATCAGAGAAACTTTTGGTACTTGAGAGTGTATCCAAGTGCAGATATGAATGTGGTCCTCAGATGAGTCGGTAAAAGAAAAGGCAGAGGGAGCTGAAGGAAGAGGCTGCACCTGCAGAGGAGGTCTTCAGCTCTCAAGCCACCCGCTGTGTGAAGAGGGGGAGGAAGAGGGAGAGGAAGAGGAGGAGGAAGAGAGAGAAGGAGGCTGCAGCAGCTGCATGGTTCAGAGAGAGAGAAAGAAAGAGAGAGCAAAGAAAGAAAAGCGATGGAAAGCATGAGTGCAACCTCTTTCTCTCCCAAAAGGGCCCCCCTGCTGGGTCGCCCATTTGTGCTCCTGTACTCCTCATGGAAACCGCAAAAAAAAGAGAGAAAAAATTAACAAAAAATCCGCAGTTCACGGCTCCTGTTTGAAATCGTATGTAAATAAGGCGCAGCCATAATGAAGCGCCAGAGGAGGAAATTCCACTAATTACTTTACAGAGGCTTGACAGGGAGCAGGAGGCGAACGCACTCGACGCGCTCGGCGTTTCATGAGCAGAGTAAAGGAGAGGAAAAAGATCTGATGGCAAGGCGTCAGGTCTCGCCCATTTCAAAAGTCGACGCGGGTCTTTTCATTTTGTTTTTTGTTGTTTTTTTTTTCCAATCCGACCGTTTGTGGGCGCTCCCGCGACAAAAAAAGTCGCGTTGGTTTCGGGGGGATGAGTTGAAAAGGAATCAGTGGTGATTCACTATTCAATTCATATTAGAGAGGATACGGATGAATTGTGCGTGTCGTTGGGGGCGGGGGGGTTCTCACAAAGTCGAATTTTATAGGCAAGTAAATGTGATTAAGCACTCAATTCTGAACTTGGAGCTAATAAAAAGGAAGACATTTTTGATTAATATAGAGTCAGCTTTGAATAAAAGTATCTGTTTAACTTCTTTTTCCAGCCTTTGGAGGAATTAAGACTGATATCTGAACCAAGGTTGTTATAGTTAAAGCTGCAGTAACTTATTTTATATATATATATTTTAAATCTCCTTTTTTACATATTTGTTAAAACTGTAATTTATCATGACAGTTTGATATGAGACAGATAATCTGTCAATAGATCGATCTTTTGAACCTACTTCCTGAGATACTGTTGCTTTCTGAAAAAATGAACCGTTCCCGACCAAAAACAACCAATCAGGGCCAGGAGGTGGATCTTAGTGCTGTCACTCATCCTCACATACTCGCTGCTCAATGTGCTAATGGCACAAAAGCAACTTATCCACCGTCATTGGTGGCTATGCTAACTTGCCTTAGGATTCACAAGAGGCTATGCTAGCTGCAGCATAGCACAGGGTGATTGACAGCGCTAAGACCCGCCTCCTGGCTCTGATTAGTTGTTTCTAGTTAGCGCTGGGAGAATCCGAGGAGGCTGACTACTTTTCTTTTCACAGATTGTCTCAATCCATACTGTCACGACATGATGACAGTTTCAACAAATAGGTAAAATTAAAATATTTTTCATTAAAGTTACATACTGCTGCTTTAACTAAAACGAAATAACAAAAACCGAACTTAATAAAAATGTTAATTAACGGAAAAACTGTAACTGAAACG